CAATAGGATTCATTTTGACATAATTATAAAAGCATGGAATATAATTTTTTTAATTCAGTCCTCAATATTTCCCTTTTCTCCCTTCTCCCTCCCTGTTTCCTTCCTTCTGCTCTACTGATCTTTCAGCTGTTTACTTATAGTTTTTTTTTCATTAGTGTCTTGTGTATGTACATGATGGTGAGATTCACCGTGTTATATTCATATATGTCTATAGGATTGCCCAGGCTGGCCTTGAACTTGTGATCCCATTTCAGCCTCCTGAGTAGTTGGGATGACAGATGTATGCCACTGTGCCTGACATCATATGTGATCTTAAACCTCATTCTGCATTAAAAAATAAAAAAGCTTTTAAATTTGAATAATTATAGATTTAAAGGAAATTGCAAAAAAAATTTAAAAATATATAGGGAGATTTATACACCCTGCAGCCAATTTCTACCAATAATAATTATATTATGTAATTATAGTACAATGTGAATCCAGAAAATTGACAATGCTACAAACCACAGAGCTTATTCAGGTTTCCCTAGTATCACGTGCTCGTGAGTGTGTTTGTGTGTGTGTGTGTGTGTGTGTGTGTGTGTGTGTGTGTAGTTCTATGCAATTTTGTCCCTTGTATAGACTAGTGTGATTGATGTTACAATAAAGATGCACATTGTTCCATCACCACAAGACTCCCTCAACTTCTTTCCTACATTAACTTCTTAAAACTGCTAATCTATTTTTCAACAGCATTATATAAATGGAACTCTATAGCATGCAACCTCCACTCAGCATACTTCCCTTGAGGTCCATGCAAGCTTCGGTGTGTATCTTTTATGTTGCTGTCTATTATTCCATGGTATGGATGTACCATTGTTTGTATAACCGTTCATCTCTTAAAGGGTATTTATGTGTTGTGTTCAGTTTTAGGCTATTAGAAATAGTTTTTATGAACATCTATACACAAGTTTTGTACGAACGCATTTTTCATTTCTCTGAGATAAATGCCAAAAGAGTGTAGCTGTTGAGTCATAAGGCAAGTATCTGTTTGGTTTTATGAAAAACTGTCAAACTGTTTTCTAGAGTAGCTGTAACATTTCACAATCCTATCAGCAATGTCTGAGTTATCCTATTTCTCTGTATCCATGCCAGCATTTGGTGTTATATTTTTAATTTTAGCCACTCTGATAATTACAGTTTTAATTTGCATTTCCTTAATGGATGAAAATGCTGAACGTGTATGCTTAGTTTTTCATCTATAAATCCTCTTTATTGCCGCCTTCGCCGCCCTCCCCCTCCTCCTCTTCTTCTTCTTCTTCTTCTTCTTTTGTATTGAGGATTGAACCGAGAGGCACTTAACCACTGAGCCACATACTCACCCCTTTTTAATACTTTATTTAGAGACAAGATCTCACTGAGTTGGTTAGGGCCTCTATAAATTGCTGAAGCTGGCTTTGAACTCACAATCCTCCTGCCTCAGCCTACTGAGCTGGTGGGATTATGGGCATACACCATTGTGCCCAGCACAATATTCATTTTTTAACTGGATATTTTTTTTCTACTAAGTTTCAGGAGTTTTTTATATGATTTAGATTCCACTCCTTTGTTGGATATGTGGCTTAGAAATGTTTACTCCAAGTCTGTGACTTGTATTTTCTTCCTTTTAAAAGAGGATTAACTCCTAATTTGGATGAAGTAAAATTTGTCATTTTTCCCTTCTATGGGTCATATTTTGCTGCCAAATCTAAAAACTCTCTCTTCACTCAGCCCTAAGTCCTGATCCATTTTGCTCTAGTTTTTATATATAGTGTGAGGTTTAACTTAAGTTTTCTTCATCTTCTTCTTTTTCCTTTTGTGTATGCTTAGCAGCTCTAGCAGCAGTTGTTGAAAAGGTTGAAATACTTAGTTGTTTGTTGTTTTTGTAGAAAACCAGCTGGGGGGCTGGGTTGTAGCTCAGTGATAGATCCTCAGCAACACATAAAAATAAACAAAAATAAAAATATTGTGTCTATCTACAACTATATATATATATTATATATATATATCCATCCAGCTGGGCATATGTATATTTATGTAGGTCTGTTTCTGAGTTCTCTTCTTTGCCCAATTGGTCTATGTATCTATCCCTTTGCCAAAATCATTCTGCCGTGATTACTTTAGCTATATAATGTGTCCAATTTATTTATTTATCTATTTATTTGTGCAGTGCTGGGGATCAAATCCAGGGCCTCACACTTGCTAGGCAAACAAGCACTCTTATCACTCAGCTACACTTGCATTCCTGAGAAGTCTTTACACTGAAAACAGTGATTGTTTTTACTTTAAAAAATAGTTTTAGCTATTCTATATCCCTTGCCTTTCAATATTATTATCAAGTAATAATAATAATCTTAGTTATATCTATAAAAACTATTCTGGGAATTTTTTCCTTTCAGTTCTAGTATTAAACCCAGAGCCTCATGCATACTGGACCAAGTGTTCTACCACTGAGCCACATTCCCAGATCCAATGTTGGGATTTTGATAGCATTTCATTTAAAGGCACAGGTTAATTTGGTGAGAATTGGCATCTTAACTATTATGACTTTTTCAATCCATGAAAATGATATTTTCCTATTATTAGGTCTTTTGATTTATTTAATCAGAATTTTGTAATTTTCAGCATACAAGTCCAGATATATTTTGTTTGATGTATAACTAAGTATTTTATTTCCTTTGGTAAGTTGTAAATGGTATGGTATTTTAAATTTATTTCCACAATTTTTTTATGTATAGAAATGCAGTGGAGTTTTATATATTGATCTGTGTCATATGATGTTGAACTTACTAACTAGTTCCAGGAAATTTTTTCATAGGTTCCTTGGAGTTTCATTTTTTAAAAACATGGATAAGCATGTCATTTATGAGTATGGATAATTTTATTTCTTATCTGTATGCTTTTAATTTAATTTTCTTGCCCAATTTTACTGCCTAGAATTTTCAATACCATGTTGAATAAGAAGTGAGAGTAGATATCTTGCCATGTTCACAATCTTAGGGGGAAAGCAGTTTTTTCTCCCCAATATTAAGTATGATGTTAGCTATAGATTTTTTGTAAATGTTAGTCATCAAGTTGAGAAAAATCCTTTAATTCTGATTTTCTGGAAATTTTTTTTTTTTTTGGATGCTGCTGATTGAACCCAGAGCCATGCACTTTACCACTGAGCTATACCCCTGGCCTCTACTGAAAGTTTTTTCCATGAGAGTATTAGAAATAGTCAAATGTTTTAACTGGGTCAGTTGAAATAATCATAATTTTTTTCTTTATCCTGTTGATATGGTGGATTATACTTTCAAATACCAAATCAGCCTTGCATGCTTTGACTATTCCCAGTTGGTCATGTTAGTCTAATTCCTTTCGTACATAGCTGGATTCAGTTCACTAATATTTTGTTTGGGATTTTTGCATTTCATTTCATGAGAAATACTGTTTATAGTTTTCTTTCTTTGTACTGTCTTTGGTTTTGGTGTCAGGTTAATCCTTGCCTCATTAAATGAGTTGGGAACTGTTCTTTCCTCTTCTATTTTCTACTGTAATTGGTGTTGTTTTTGCCTTTAAATGTTCTGAATTGTTTTTTTTTTTAGTTAGTAAATGACTCTGCCTCTTATCTCTCATGGATTGGACATGAATAATCCATAACACTTTCACTTAAAAACACGGATAAAAAAAATCACCCCTTTGCTCTCACATGAGATGTTCCCTAGACATTTTGGGATAAAATCCAATTTTTTGTCTCCTTATTTTCAGGGGCAGTGAGGTCAATGCCTGGATATGGTCAATACCTTAGCTGACTTGGATAGCCTGCTTCATGCACTCAGAATCCTTGGGTAAAACTGGTTGACAGGTGTAAGGCAAGGAGTGCTAATTTTTTTTTTCCCAATACTGGGAATTTAACCCAGAAGGCTTCTACTTCTGAGCTAAGTCTCTAGACCTTTTTCCTTTTTTATTTTATTTTGAGGCAAGGTCTTTTTAAATTGTCCAGGCTGACTTTGAATTTTCTAACCTCTTGCTTCAGCCTCCCAAATTGCTGGATTATAGGCGTGCACCACTGCACCCAGCTCTAAATAGAAATCTTTGATTAACACTCTCTATTGTCTGCCCTTGCCATACAGCTAGGTTGGTATCTAGTCATTGATGAGACTTACAGATCACCTGCCATCAGTGAATAAAATGCAGGAGGGACTAATATCCCCCCCCCACAATTCTCCAGCTTGGGGATATAGAAATGGGAAGGATAGGTTCAAATGCTTGTATATTTTATATATCATATGTAAGTTTATATAGATGTATATAACATCTTAGATATCATCTAGTTTAAGTTCTGTTTTGCAAATGAGGACACTGAGGCTTCTTAAAGGGATGGCATATTTAATTTTATTTAAAAATATTTTTAGTTGTAGATGAACACAATACTTTTATTCTACTTATTTTTTTTTGTGGGGCTGAGGATCAAACTCAGTGCCTCGCACTCTACCACTGTGTGCTCTACCACTGAGCCACAATCCCAGCCCAAGGGATGGCATATTTTAAAAGAGAATTTATTATTGTTATTATTAAGCCCGATTCACTTGTTTATTCGAGAAATGGAAAGATTCAGTTTCCTATCTCTTTCCTAAAGAAGACTTGCAGGCTGAGCCTGTAGCTCAGTGGCAGAGTGCTTGCCTAGCATGTGTGAGGCACTAGGTTTGATCCTCAGCACCACATTAAAAAAATAAATAAATAAAATAAAGGTATGCTGTCTATCTACAACTATTAAAAAGTAAAAAAAGAACATTTGCTTTTTTTTGTTTATGTGGCTTTAGAGTATATTGAAAGCTGAAAGCAACATCCTTTGGTCACTATTATAAATAATAAGGTTAAAACTGATGATTGTTGTTACAACTGGTAATCTGAGATGATGATGATGATGATGATGATGATGATGATATGACGATGATGGTGATAATGAAGATGATGATTTTGTCATGTCTTTATTTCAGAAGAGCCATGGATTATTACAGAAAATATGCAGCTGTCATTCTGGTCACATTGTCTGTGTTTCTGCATATTCTCCATTCCTTTCCTGATGGAGAGTTTGCAATGCAGGGTACGTGACCAAACTTGTGTTTGAAGTAATAAGGACAACGTGCATTTCTAGATGTACATCAATAACTCCATTAATCACATTTCTACCTCCTTTTCAAATGTGATAAATCTTCACTGCTGGATACATATCAAGGCACTTGTAGACAGTGAACATAAAATCAAATTAGGTTCAGAAAATGTACAGTGAAAATGATATCTTACACATCCACTTAAATAGCAGCCTGTACATTTTCATCTGAAATAGATTTCTTATTATTCTTTATCAGGATTTTACAAGAAGAAAATGCTCTCAGTTAGCTCAGTCCCCCACCCTTCCATTTCTCTCAGAAGATTTGAGAAGATTTTAACGTTGCCTCTGTGGATAAATTTTCACATCAGTTAACAAGTGAGAAAAACAAAACCATTTTATGCAGTAAATTTGGCTGTATTGTTTGAGAATCTCATATAGTGGCTGATATAATTCCATCAGCTTTGAAATTGTAAGCTACTGCTGGTTATGCTTTTTTTTTTCTCTAGATGAATGGTAATATTTTAATCCTTGGTCCCAAGTGCAGATGCCTGTTGTAATATCAGGCTCTCTATCTACACTCACCAAGCTGTCTTAATTCTGACATATTTTTCTCTGTCAGTATTTGGAGTTTCTACAGGGAAAAAAACAATAGCAGATTCTAAAGGGGAAAATATTTTGCCTCTGGGCAAAACTCTCCTTTCGGATAAACATAGTATTTTCATCTGTCAAGTTTTGTGCTCACTCTAAGCATACTATTAGCTTTAGGATAAAGATTCCATGCTTAAAGAGAGAGAAACCACTACAACTAAAATTTCCCATGCAGCTCTGCAAAAAATTGTTTTCCTGGGAAGATAACTCTAATCAGTATAAATATATATTATATATGAAAACCAGCATACAGCCAAAAGTATTTACTTAATTCTGTATTCTCCATGGAGAAAAAGAATATTTGCTATCCCATAATAAGGAAAAATTCATAGTTTCTCTTCAAATCCTTTTTGGTTTATTTGACTTCTTTTTTTTGTTTTATCTTGTCTGATAGGTTGCCCAGAATGTAAGCTAAAAGAAAACAAATATTTCTCCAAGCTGGGTGCCCCCATTTATCAGTGCATGGGCTGCTGCTTCTCTCGGGCATACCCCACTCCAGCAAGATCCAAGAAGACGATGCTGGTACCAAAGAACATCACCTCAGAGGCCACATGTTGTGTGGCCAAATCCTTTACCAAGGTAAGAACTTCAAGGGCATTAGAAAAGTTTTAATAGCCTACCAGAGTCATAGCTATAGAGCATATCCATGGCATTTAATGCTGAAGGTATCTAATGACCTATCTTTTCTTGGTCATTTGTAGTCAGGGGTTGCATTTGTACACTTTACTTAAAAGTCAACTAATTTAAGAAGGTTGGTTTCATAAAAGAAGAGAGTAGAATAGTAGCCTCCAAAGGCTAAGAAAGGTGTAAGGAGGTTGGAGTTTAGGTAATAAAATATAGTTACACAGGAAGAGTAAATCCTTTCATTCTACAGCACAGTAGGATGACCATAGTTCACAACAATTTGTTATATTTTTTTATAAAGAACTAGAAGAAAAGAATTAAAGTTTTTCTACACCAAAAAAATGACAAGTGTTTAAAAAGATGAAGATGCTGTTACCTGGACATGATCATTACACATTGTACATGTGTCAAGTTATCATATTGTAACCCATCAATACCTGCAATATTTATTATGCTAAGAAAAAAGTTAAAAGTTAAAAAAAATAGTCAGGGGGCTGGGATGTAGTACATTGGGAGACTGCTTGCCTAGCATGCATGAGGCCCTGGGTTTAATCCTTGCTACTGAAAAATAAATAAGTAAATAAAAATAAATTGGTGGGCTTTTTTGTGGGGGGTGGGACAGGGGTTAGGGAGGTAGCTCAGTGTCACAGTGCTTGTCTAGCATGTACAAGGTGCAAAGTTGGATCCCCAACATTGGAAGGAAGAAAAGAAAGGAAAAAAAGTAGAGGGAGGGAGAAAGGAGGAAGGAAGGAATGAAGGAAAAAAGAAAGACATCATTTGTCTTGTGGATATGGGCTGGATTTATTCAGAATGAGAACAGGGTATGGATGATAGGGAACAGGTTGGGAGAAATTGTAGCCTATTTACATGATGTGAACTCGACCTTTTAGAATGAAAATATATCCTGAAATGGAGAATATGCAAACATTATCTATTTACTTCAGTTGGCTACAATTTAACATTTTCCAATTTTGCCTGTTTATCCTGGTTTATTGTCTGTCTCTCCTCTTTGCTTTCCCTTCAGGCCACGGTAATGGGACATGCCAGAGTGGAGAACCATACTGAGTGTCACTGCAGCACTTGTTATTATCACAAATCTTAAACATATTTTAAAGTGCCGTGCGGATGACTGATGATTTGGTGAAAAGGAAAATTAAGTTGTTCAGCATTTTAACCTGCAAGATAAAGCCCTCCTTTCCCTCATCAGCCCATTCTGACGTGCTTCAAGGACACACTGCCGCTTCATTGCTTGCCTCCTTATCCAGTGGTGTAATCAGCAGCCTAGCTCTTTCAATTGGAATGAATTATAGCATTTAGCATGACCATAAAAAGCTGCTTCCATTGGAAATAAAGCTTTTTAAATCATCATTCATTGAATTATCTTTTTTTTTTTTCATAAAAGTAAAGCTAATTGCTTTTGAAATGATTTGTGGAAAGGAGTGAGCCAATGGGTGATTTAGAACCTGGCCTATTTAGTGAGTTGACATTGGAGATTCTTGCTCCCACCAAGCCTTCTAGAAGCTGCTGTGAGTCCTTTCAACTAGTGGGCCAATTATGACAATTTCCACTGAGGTCAGAGGAGAAAATATGAGATCTTCTATATCTATTCACTTTTAAATCATCCTTTAAATTTCAATTTTGATGGATTTTATGAAAACATAAAAATCCATTACTAGGGTAATACATGTATACAATTTATAAACAAATAATCATGCATATATTGAGGTTACTGGATCAGAACCTTTTTACTGGTAGAAGTATGCAATTAAAACATACCCAGCTGGGGTAGAGCTCAGTAGAGCACTTGCCTGGTACATGTGAGGCCCTGAGTTTGGTATTCAACACCAGAAGAAAAAATAAATAAATAAATAAAAGAGACCATTGCTCTAGAATTTAGGAAGGATAATCCCAGTCTGAAGTTTCTATCTACTTGATTTATGTCCAGAACAACACACAAAAAAGTGCATCCTGTTAGTTTTCAGCATCCAGGCTATAACTAAATGGTGGTCCTAGAAAGTTCTCATTGCTCTCCACTAAAACAGCATTACTTTGAAATTTCAGAGGCATCAGATCTTATATTCCATGATCAGGGCTGGGTGAGAATGAATAAGTAAGGAGCAAGACATCCTTTGAGTACTCCCAGTGGGCTAGGTAGAATACCAGCACCTTCACTTAGTTCTAGCAAAATGCTTCAGAGTAGTACTATGCTTCCAAGTCATGTTTAAAAAAATTTTTTTAGCTTTAGATAGACACAATACCTTTATTTTATTTATTTTTATGTGGTGCTGAAAATGGAACCCAGTGCCTCAAATGTGCCAAGCAAGTGATCTTCCATTGATCCACAACCCCAACCCCTCAAATTCATATTTTATTGAGCATGTATACCTAGAAACAGGGTTATCCTTGCCTTGGGGACAACAGTTTCATATCTATTAAATCATATTATTCATGGTGGAGATCAAAGCCCCCCAAAATCTCTTCTCCTGTAGGAGATCAAAGTTTTGAAACATGAGTCTGAAATTTTAGAATATAACATTAGTAGCAAATAAAGTTTTCAAAAAAGTTTCAACCATCACTGATTTGTTAAATTCCATTTCTGTGTGGCAAACCAGTTCCTTGGTATGCTGGAAAACACCTGATATCAAAGTGAAAAGGTAAAATGGGTGCATGTACTTTTTAAGAAGCTTTGGAATGCACATGAAGATGTTAGTTCTTTTGTTCATTCATTTATTTATTATGCACCTATTGAGTGCATTATGTTGACACTCAATTGGGTTGTGAGGATTCAGAGATTTCTAGATTCTTTGTAATGTTGAAAAAAAGATAAGGGGGCATAACCTGAGAGAACATTGGTGCTGATCATTGGTTCATTCAAATGTCTAGCAGAGTGGCTGAGAAGGTAGCTCAGTGGTAGAGTGTTTGCTTAGCATGAGTGGAGGCTTTAAGTCCAATGCCCAGTACTGCAAACAAACAAACAAACAAACAAAACACAGACACTCACACACATACACACACAATCCAAAATGCAAATTTAAAAAACCCCAAATGTATGGTAGGTATTTATTGAGCACCTACTGTGTGTCCAGTCTGGAGGGCTCAACACATACTTGGAGGGCTCATTGGTTGGAGGAGAGCTCCTGACACATACTTGACTGGAGTATCCTTGCTGGTCTGAGTTCCTCTTATTTGACAGAGGGACACGAAAAGAGTATGGAGAGACGGAGGAATATCCCCACGGTCATCCAGATCAGCCAAATCAACCCAAATGAACAGTATATCATAGCCATAGGACCTCCCATTTTGCCATGTGTCTCACATGGAACTGGTCTTGGGAAGGCCAAGATGAATAAGACACAGACCCTTTCCTGAAGCATTGCAAAGTCCAATGAGTACTGTGAACAACACATCATGATCTAGTGAGGTGCATGTCAAGGGAGGGATCTGGACTTAGGTGGTATAAAGGGAGGAATGGCTAATTCAGCCTGCTGGGGTTTGTTGTGGTAAAATTCACAAGGCAAGGTGATACTTGAGCTGGGTTTAGAAGATAAGTAGAGAAATGGGTGAAGGAGTGCATTCTTGTTTGAGAAAACAGCAGAAGCAAACATCCTGAAATGGGAAATAGCATTGTTTCCAATATTGGAGTCGGGAGCTTTTGACTTGGTGATAGAAACAAAATCAAGTCAAGTGAGCATGAATATACAGGCAAGGCTTTAATTGCGCTTCAGCCAAAGCAGGTAACTGTGTCTTCGGCTGGAGGGAGATAGCACTCATCAAGGGACAAGGCTGCTACCTGAAAAAAGGGACATGTGAGTTTCTATTGATTTGCTGGGATGGGCCAGAGCTTGGTAATTTTCTACTGGCCAGGAGCACAGTTCCAGAAGATATTTCTTCTTGCATGAGACAGGCAGGCTGTGAACTTGTTCTAGAACTGCTGAGTTACTCTTGTAGCTGCAACCATCATCCTGTGCAAACATCCTGGTCTTGTACCTTGATCTGGACCTAATGGTAGGGCTGAAGGACAAGAAAACACATACCAGTTCTAAATGGGCAAGCAAAAATGTCAACAAGTAGAACCTGACTTTAATTATTAAGGCAGCAAAGGGGTCAGACATAATATGAAGACAGAGATCTCATTCTAGTCACTCATCAGACACCTGCAAATCCAAGAGTCAGTGTTTCTAGTTTCAAGTCCCTGAAAAGTAACCTAGGCAACCATTACCATCCTAACCCACACATCAGAGGTGTTATGTACAGTAAAGCTAGTGGGAAACTAACAATGTATTGTCCAGCTGCATGACCTCCAAAATTAGATTTCTAAGTTAACTAAGAACAAGTAAAGCTAGCAGGTTTATTTAGGGTTTCCCTGGTAACAATTTCATCATGTGTAAATAGTCTGCTTCAGTGGTTTTATCAGGGTTTCATGAGAAGAATACTGGGACAGAGAAGCAACATGTCACACCACAAAGGGTAACAGTTCAATACACTTGGGGGTTTATTTCACTGTCTCAGCCTCTGTTCCACTAAGGTGGTTCCTGAATATCTCAGTATGATAGTCACAGAATTGTCAGAGGTTCAGTGTAACTGGACTTCAGGAAGCATGCTGGAGGGCTGAAGCTGTAGGGACAAACAGGCATCTGTCAAGAAAGTCCTTGTAGCATATGCAAAGTAATGTGGATTTCAATTAGGATCCTGTCTTCTCAAACTGGAGGGCCTCAGGTTTTTCTGATAAGACAGAATAAACAAGTACCTTTCTACAGATCAATTTTGCTTGAATATTTGGGGAAATAGGATTTTCATTTAAAACAGCAAAAAAAAAATCATGCATTACATAGAATATAACAGAGAATTGCCAAACTAGGATTAAAAAAACCAGCAATGCCTTAAAAAGAAACTTCAGGCTGTGGGTGGGGTTTTCCAGATCCTGATCTCCTGACCCCTCCCAAACCACCTGTTTGTTCTCTTTGCAGTAGGAGTCCTTAAGGGAGGAGTATGAGAAGTTTTATTAAAGGAAAAATACGCTCTGCTTTGCAGATTAGAAAAATCATTCTGGCAGCAAACAAAGGAGGATTTGAAGAAGTGAGATACTGGACCCAGGGTTACTCTTTGAGGCTTTTGTGACTGTCTTGCAAAAAGAAGACAGCGATGATCTACTGTCATCTACAGTTGGTGAGAGTGAGCGCAGTAGGAAGACAGACTTGGGAGGCATTAGGAGGAATGAAGACATGATTGTGTGTGTGATTCCCAGACGGTCAATGACTTGTCGGCACTTGGGACGTGGTCTGGGGCAGCAGAGAGGCGAGATAGGAAATTCAGTTTGGGAAACTCCCAAGTGTTTGAGAAACACTGTGTGAACATGCCTGGATGTGGACTTTTAAGAAAAGACTGCAGCAGGGCACGGTAGTGCAAGCCTGTAAACCCAGTGTCTTGGGAAGCTGAGGCAGGAGGATTGCAAGTTCAAAGCTAGCCTCAGTGATTTAGTCAGGCCTGGTCTCAAAGAAAGAAAAAAAGAAAATAGGGCTGTGGATGTAGTTCAGTGGTTAAGTGTTCCTGGGTTCAATCCCCAGTACCATGAAAAAAAAAAAAGAAAAGAAAAAAAAGAAAAAAAAACTGGAGAGACAGTCTTGCGGGTCATTAGTGGTGAATTAAATGGCAGGAACTGCTTGGGAAGGTTTGGGGCATGAAGAATAGATGCTGGGCCACCAAGGGTAGATTCTGGATGAGTCTGACTGAGAAAAATGGTCGTTATGACTTTTGGCACAGTCAATCTGAAAACTCTGATATGAACCCTCTAGAGAGAAGATCATAATCTGAAGTATATAAGCATCAAGGAAGAAGAGAGGCAGAAATTTGAGGCTGGTAATTTTGTCTCAAGCCCTTCTGTGAAAAATATCTAAAAGAAGTACTAATGGTAGAATACGCACATGTTTGAGGGGGTGCTTCTGTCAAAAAGTTTCCTGTGATTCATCTCAGCCAGATAGCTCCCCTGTGAGATTCCGACCTTACGGCCAAGACACAGAATACCAAGCACCTTCCTTTTAAATGACAACATATCTGTCTGTAGTGATGTAGGTGGGTATCAATGTCACAAGCTATGTTAATTTAATAGGCCACTGGTTCTGTCTGTATGGCAGTTTCTGGATTCTGGTCACTGGGGACAGGGTAGTACTTTAGTTTTTTCATTGCTGTGAACAAAAGATCTGACAAAAACAACCTAGACATGAAAAAAAATTTTTGGCCCATGACTTCAGAGGTTCAGTCCATGGTCAGCAGACTCTGCATCTCTGGGCCCAAAGAGAGGCAGAACATCATGGCAGAAGGGTGTGGCAGAGGGAAGCAGCTCAGGATGAGGCAACCAGGAAAGAGAGGAA